CACAGACCCCCGGTTTCCGCGTGCCGCTCGGAGGATCCTCTGAGTCAGCCGCCAGCCTGCTGCCGCCCTGGCCCCGCCAAGGGATGTTTCGGATGCCCAGGATTTGGCCTGGAAAACTCTCCTCCTTCCTTTGAGGAAGCTGTGGTTCCCTCTCGGCATCTCCTTCCTGGTGCCGCCAAGGTGCTGGAACTGGTGCTGAGACCTGGCTCCCAGGCAGGTCTGGAGGTCTGGAGAAACTGAGGCACGGAGCGGGCTGGGGGACGGGGCGGCCACACTGGGTTCAGACCCCATAGGGCAGACTTGCTGCTGGTCACCCCCCAGGCTGGGGGCAGGAGGATGCTGAGCCCTGCAGGCCCTCGGCCCCATTTCCTTATGTGATCGAGTGACATCCTCCCGCTCCTTTCTCCCGGACAGGGCTGGTGACTAACGATCAGCCTGGGCAGCTAGCCAAGGTCCGGGCTGCTAGTCCCCCTGGAGCAAGGCAGGAGGGAGGTGTGTGCTCTTCTTCCTCTTTGGAGACTTTGCAAGAAACTAATGCCACCCCTTGTTCATTCTGAACCCTAATGATGGCCAGCAAGGTGTGCCCTCTGCGTGGACAGAAAGGCTCCGAAACGGGATGCTCTGTCCCCGGCCTGGGCTCCACCAAGGGAGGTTAATCCCCTGGCCAAACAGCGCTGGGCTCCCACATTCCCCAGGGCCAGGCCGGGTCTCCTAGTGACGGGCTGGCTTGGGGCCGGCTCCTGCGCTTCCCTGCTCGCCATGAGAGCCAGGAACAGCCTCCGGCAGCACCGGGTGACGCTCCGCTCTGGATACCATCCCGCTCCACAGCACCGTGGTTCTGCTGTGGCTGTGCTGGACAAAGGGGTGAACCGAGGCACGGGGGAGATCCTTGGGGATCAGCCGGCTCCGGAGCAGCCTCGCTGATTCCTTCTGAAGCTCCAGCCTCCGCTGTGGCTCCGGGCCTCTCCTCTGCGGATAAAATGTTTCCCTGTGGCCGGGACTCCCAGGCAGCCTCCAGTTCATGCGCGGGTGGAAATTACCCCAAAACCCACCAGTGCTGCCCCTGCTCTGCCCACCCCCCAGCAGGCGCGGGTGGCACGGGCTGCGCCCGGCCGTTTCCCTCTGCTTTATGTCCTTCACATCCTGCCACCTGTAGGGACTAATTTTAGGAGGAAAGGAGCGGGGGAAGCTTTTTTTTGGAGGGTGGGGGCGTGCATTAGGGACTCGCCTCCTCCCGTGAGCGCAATGAGCCTGCAGGGCAGCGGCGCGGAGGAAAATTGTCCAGGATTAGCAGCGAAATCCCGGGAAAAGGACCAGAGGGCAGGGAGGTGGTGGGGAGATGGGGAGGGGGGTGATGCTCTGGACGGGGGTGTCCCCCGTGGGCCCCCCCCAGGGGAGGCTGCTATTTCAGGGCCGGCGGAGCCGATCTGGAGTACGGAGCAAACCCAGGGTCCTGAACGCCGCTTCTCCGTCCTTTCCTTTCTATTCCCTATTTTGAATGAAGGCGGCACAGTGGGCCCTTTTCCATGTGAAATCACTGTGCTCCGGAGCATTCCCGCTCCCTTCCCCCCCCGGCAACAACTCTGCCACCCCCCCTCTTTCCTTTCTCCCTGCTCACTGCCAAGAAATCTGCCTTCCCGGCCGGCCCGCAGCAAGAATATCCCAATTTGGGGCTGGCGGGAGGAATCAGAACAACTCACTAACTGAATAAATAAATAAATAAACATATAGAGGGAATAAATAGGTATATATTTATGCATAGGG